AATTCTCAAGTCAATAAAAACTGTCCTTTTTTCTGCGCGCGATAAAAAACTGGTCACCCACTGAATATTAGTTTTATGTTGCCAAAATAGTGTGAACGACCGCGAGGTCGTTTCGGACGCAATAGATGATGTCTTGAGGCAGGCACACACACACACACACATTGAGATCGTAGTGTGTGTTGTTTTTCTAGTTATGATACTGCGCAGTTTTTGTTTCTCGTTGTGGAAGATCAGGGTCATTCTTTCTGTTGTTAGAAAGTTTCATTACGTTTATTGTTTATATTAAATAATACTTGTGCATAACTATACGACACATCATACGTAATTATCATGCATATTCCTTAAAGGCCTATTTAGAGGTTTTATTGGTATATGTTACAGGGTTCAATAATTCAAGCATCTCTACCAGTTTTACCTACCTTGGCACTAGAGACATTTTTTTGCACTTTGTTTGCCAGTCTAACAACTAAACTAAAAACAGCTAAAATTGTTAAACATTTTATTTTATGCCGTCTTAAAATATTTGAAACGCAAGAATTTGTAAGTATTCTAGCGTTTTAAATGTTTTTATGACAAGTGTTTTCTTTAGTAAAGCTAGTAGTATTTTTCATACCATAGTTGATTTCGTGTTTTAAACCGTTAAAACTGTTTTATTAAAATGTTTTTTGTTAATTAGAATTTAAACGTTTTTTTCACGCAACGTGCGCACCAAAATCGTAATAAGTCATGTTCGTAGAGGCAACCTCGAAATATTACAATTCACAGAGAGGTACTGCTTTGTGGCTGCCAAGGTCTGAAGCCAGGATGGTTCATGGCCGGCCGAGCGTTACCATTTCTAAGATATTCACTTGGAAACTTTACGCTGCATGCGTCAATATCTAAATACGTAAATAGCTCGGAAATTATACAATATCTCATGTCGTATAAAACAGTTTTTTTGACAGAGAAGAAGACAGCGACACATTTAGGATGCCTTGTCGAACTATGCTTTAGACGGGACTTGCATGTAACGATGCAATATCTCAGGGATTATCCATAAAAGGCAGTATTTCTAAACCCGAACTTAGTTCTGGTGTTTAAGCTAAAGGAACTATATTTTTCATTTATTATGATGATCGAATCGGCGTAAGCTAGTGTAGCATAATATAAGAATGGTTATTTTATATTCTAGAACCACGTCATATCGTTCGGTCAATGGCTTTCGGTTCGGCGAGAATTTAATTTTAAATTAGATGTTTTGCATTTTGACTGCAAACATATAAATTGCCGGATTAATGCAAAGAATAGAGAATCATTATATTATGTAAAGGTGATAGGGTATATTGGTACTTAGTATTTTCATTATATAACTACAGAAGTATTTTTTCTATATATTCTAATAATATGTATTTAATTAACTTCTAATTGAATATGTAAGTTTTGATACACCAAAACTATATTTAAAATTGGTCCAACCGTTTTAGCAACAACAACAAATGAAAGAACAACATCCAATCGTTCTCAGGTTTTTGTAACATGCTAACAAAACAAATTACTATAATTGGTTTCTAGCTCATCTAAGAAATGATGTAATTATTAAAAAACTTTACTGATACTATAATCCTGAAGAATATGTTTGAGAGCATCCTTCGCGTGCGCTGCGAAAAACGTTTCAAGGAATTAAAAAATCGGTCTTAGAATTTGATTCCTGCCTGCGACAGTGTATGTCTGTATTTATGGTAATCAAATTTGGTCTAAATTATTGATTACCACTAATTATTTGTAAGAATTGTAGAGTTTTTTGCCAAAGTAATAATATTAATCTTACAAACACTTTATATATTAGTCTTCCAATAAGCGTGTATATTTACAATAATTGATTACGACATCAACTTCGTTCTAGGGTTATAAAATTTGCAAAATAAATTGAATGACAGAATTAACTCACAGAGATATCAATTTAATAATATGAATTTACATAAAATTGCCTTTTGAATGCTCTTTGTTTATTTTGTATGTCAATAATTAATGTATATCTAGCTGAACTGAGCGATGTTAATTATCCGTTGCTAAAGTTACGCTAAAAATAGATTTCCTACATTTTAAAATATAAGATAACCTGGCTGCATCAACGTAGAACAAGCCTAATCTCCAATAGACATCTATTTTCCCGTCTGTCACAGGTCGTAATGGATCCCATGGGTTTGAACCCACGAACTTACCTCTCTGTGACTTCAACAAATAATGCAAGGGACGTTCAAATAGAAGTAACTTCTTTAAAGAAACTGTTTAAAAAATATTGTGGCTATGTTGTGTTGATATGGCTTAACAGTCGGTTATCCGCGAATTGTTGATTTTGATAACACTTAGTGAGAGTAGTAATGAAAAAATTAACGGTTTAGAGCGCGAAATGTATAAGCTTATTTTTTATTTTTCTCTCCGTGACTACGTACGTCAAAGCACGCGAAACATCGGGCCTTGGCTAATACAAACCTAATTATTTAGTTTTATTAATAACATTTAAAATATGTGTCTTAAACAAGAGTTGTCAAACTACAATCATACTCAAAATGTGATCTCCTATGATGATAAGCTATCTGACACTTGATGAAAACTTCAAACCGAACGGAAGTAGTGGTAGTTCGGTGAGCGACGTAGTAGATTGTAAGCCAAGTTCCCACACGGAGTTGGCTAGACATTGACTAGGTCAGTTCCGTAGCCTAGATAGGGTTCGTTCAACTATTCTACTGACATAGTGTTTACATTTCAAACTATACTTACAGATATGAAGTTTTGTCATAGTATGTGATTTTGAGGAACCCTATTCACTCGTTTAAGGCTGTTTATGTATTCTCTATTTTAGAAAACCGATTATAATCAATAGGAAGAACAAAAAGTAGAAAAAAAGAGATCTTTCTTATCACGCTATAAATATGTATTCATTGGAAATAAATTATTTATTTCAAGCGCTATGGTGCCCTTTCTAGCTATGCCATAGCGTTATAATTTTTATTTTAAAACATAAAATGAGCTTGAGAGGACTCGACGCCAGGTGAAATACAAGCCAGAAAACATTCAAGCAAGATGTGTTATTTTTATTAGACCTATTTTTGGCTTGGAAAATTTAGGAATCCACAGATTGAAATCGATGCATAGATTTGTAAGACAGTCTTCTTCGGTATTTCTGTCGAAACCTGACATGCTTCGAAAATCGAACCCGCAGGCCGATAGACCAATGACCCCGTTACAACTTAAAAATCGAAAATAAATTAAAAGAAATTTCGACTCGCGCAGGACTTGAACCGGCATCGTCGGCGTTTCGTGCTGTTGCTCTACCAATTGAGCTACAGAGTCAATCCTTACAACTTGATTAATTACAATCTTTGTATAAGATGTATTCATACACACATCGCATCTGTGCCTACCTTAATACATCATCTATTGCTATTTGCGACCGAAACGACCTCGTGCGCGGTCGTTCACACTATATCAATTAACATACAAAAACTGTTATGTAGGTGTTTGACGCCATTTTACTTATTAGGTGATTAAAATATTTAATTGTGTTTGTTTTTGTACCTATTGCACTGCGTCTCTTTGTGTGGGGGAAGGGGGGAAGGGGCAAAGTCATTTTCATATGTTTATGTGGCGATTCTTTTAAGTTAGTTCTAGGTTCCAGAATTTGCCAGGCAGATAGATAGACAGCAGATAAAAAAAACTCAGTCTATTTAATACAGATAGTTTTACATATCCTATGTGTATTTTTATGATAGAGAAAGACAGACAAGCATGTAGTTTATTAATGGGTGAAATACCTCAGTCAAATATAACATCTTACAGTTGCCATATACCATGCCTTTGGATATTCGGGAATTCATAAAGTGAGACCGAAAGACGATTCAACTTAACGGTCTTCTCTGCGTGGACGATTCTTCGTGACCCGGGTGGAATATATCTACCATCCATTTAATATCCAGATTTCCAGAAAAAGTCCATGTTCAATAAAATTATAAGTTGGTCATAAAAAATTTGGAGTCAACCGAACCCACGACCAATGTAATAAAGAGTGTCCAGTCAAAATAGTGTGTATTTATTCTGTTATAATTACACAAAAAAATTAGGTTAGGTTCAGATTTGCTTCACGCATAGAGACGGGTCGACAAAGCATAAATAAAAATTTCCACTGCAGAAGATTTTACTACACCCTAAGCTAGCCAAAGGCAAAGAATTTGACCAGAGAAAAATTGACCTAGAATAAAATTCAATTAAGAAATGCATGTATGTTTGTAACAGTTTAAATTCATTACTGGGTAATTAGTTAGTTATATCAGGCAACACTGACGCCCGTATTGTATAACCAACTAGCTAGCTTAGAGCGATATAAAAACATGTTATTAATTCTAGTGAACGGATGCAGTGGCGAAATAACTATGAGTCACATGTGAACGAACTTTAGAGGACGTTCCGGTCACCCTAGACCTGAGTGCGGTAGGTCATGACTAGACTAAATTGACTCGGTCGCTGACGAAATTATACGGAATTAGAATTTTACTTTTCTATTCCTAGATTGAGCGGCCTCTGTAGGTCAGTGGTTGAATATGCTACCAATAGAAGTGGTAAGCGTGAGGGGCCTTGAATTTGAGTTTGGTGAAATTATGAATTATTTCGGTCGGGCAGGACACTGTAGCCTGACTAACTACTTATCTTTGTAATTATCAAATATCTTTACAAGAGACTGCGGGATTCACTGATAATAAAATTTTCTAGCTGGCGTTTTCTAAATAAATAAAATCTGTTGCGATGAGCTTGGTAGCTCATAGCTTATAGAAAGATTTCCAATGGACCAGCACTATCTGCTTTTTGTTATGACAAATAAAATAGATACCTTTTAGTTATTAATGTAACATGATATTGTTATGTTACCACAATTGCAAGTATTATAATGTAGATAACATTGTTTGTCATTAAAATACTGGGAAAACACAAAAATAATTGATAATGTCCCCATTTGCTCTGCTAAGATGAGAGAGTTATCCTTCCGTTGTGATGTAAGTGAACTAAAAGTAGTAAGTGGGTATTTCTGTAAAAGTGTAATTAAATTTTAAAGAAAAAGACGTTTATGTGTGTTGATAGTAAAAAAAGGTTTCACTCTAGTTGAGCTGGTAGAAGTGATAACTTGAATTGACTTGACATTGTCCATTTTAAATATTTTGAAATGTTTAGGGAATATTTCTTTTGTTTAGGGAACAATTAATATTAATAAATAATTTGTTTACTTTAGGGAAACTAAACACTTTACGGTGTTTTCATTTGTAGACGCTCGTTTCTGACGGCATTTCCCGCCCATTTCCAGAAAAGTAACATGAAAGTTTTTCTGAAAGCTTTTAAACAGATTAAAAACATGTTGGACGTGGTGGAGATCGAACCCACAGCCATTTGTGGATAAGACCAACGAACGCACAATGAAAATAGCTTTTATTCTTCTTTCTTTTGTATACTACAGTAATTTTACTTACAGTCCAGTGGTTCAAAGGATATTTTAGGTCCTGTTCTGGGTCCTAACCTATACCAACTGCCAGGTGTTGACCTTGACTCGGCGCGTCACCTTGGCTCGGTCGATCTACCCACATCTATTATGCATGACGCATTCTATTTGAAAAGCAATTGGATCTGCGATAGCGGTACAAAGTGGAACCATAAGATGGCCACTTTGCAATATTTTAAATACATATATTTATAATATCAGCATGACGGCTGATACAAATTGAAGATGAAAAATTCTTGTACAAAATGGAGTCACGACCAAATTAAATAAAATCTAAGAAAAAAATTCTAAGAAAATATTTTATTTTATTTTTATATTTACACATTATAGCATGTACAATACAATTAAATATCGATTGTGAATTGAAGATATCGACAATGATTGCTGACGAACTTGTACTTACTATGAAAACTGCGATGCATGATCAATAGGGGGAAAAAATTACGAAACGGCCAGTTGATTAGACAACAGCACTGGACGCTATGGATGCCGGATCATGTTGCACCCGTGTCATAATTTTTTTTCGATCTAAAATCGATTTTTAATTTTTAGTTTTTAATTGCGCTACCTGTCTTAAAGCTCTGTCTGTAATCAAAAGTTAATCATTAAGGGAATTTCTGTGGTAGGATCGTAAGTACAATGTATAAGTAACAACCAATGGGTTTTTGGTTTGATTCCAAGTTTGTATATCATTTTTTGCTAGAAATCCGCGAAGAGCTGATAAGCGTAAAATCGCGTTTCGGTCACAGTCTGTGCATTTAAAAGTTGTTGGCTAAAGTCAAAATAGGCCGACAGCGCATCATAATTAGACGTAGCTTTCCACCTTCAATCCGAACAATAAAACAATTAATAGTACCACAAACAATTAGTATACCGTTGGTCTATTGGCTGATGTCAACGGCCAATAGTTCTGAAGGTCGCGCGTTTGATGACCGTCATTTAAATGCAATTAATGTTAGCTTGCAACGTCCTTCTGGGAAACAACGTTTTTAGCGAATCATTCTTGTATTTTTAAGCAATTACTAAAGAAGTCTTTGAGGGAGGCCTATTCCCAAGAGTAGATGCCCAGTAAGAAGAAGAAGAATAACAGTTGCTCACAGTTGCAGTGCAGTTAGCACACACACGGATCACAAGGTGCCGCTTTCGTAATCTGGAGTGGGAATAATTTTGGATATTTGGTTTTTTTATCAACCTATTTGGTAAGATTTTTCAGATCTAGTCATCATTATTAATTTATTGTCTATATTAAAATCTGTAGTAGACCAGCATAATGGGTCGTAAACCTTCTCAATTATTATTTTGGAACAAAGTGCTATAAACTACTTCTATACAAATGATTTTCTGTGTATGATTATTTTAAAATATATGTATATTACATTATGAGCAGAACTTTACCTATAAAAAAATACAGCTAAACTAGGTATCTACATATTATTGTAACTAAAAACTTCCAAGAACAGTTTCTATGCCACTTGTTGTTTTGCTATAGAATTCGTGCACATTTTTTAACAATGTATCTTAATGTATGTTAATAACATAAAAATGCAATCATTTAGATTCCCGTATTATATACAATATAGTGTCAATACGAAAGGCGTAACGCGAAATTAACAACTGTAACATGTATTTGAATTTTTATTGAATATTTCAATTAAAAATGGTTTTTTAATTACTGGATTTACTTATAATATATACGATTTTATATAAAATACTGTCTATAGTTTACGCGAGTAGTACACATTTAAATAAAACACTTTAACGGTCTCCCCGTGTATATATCGCGTTTTAAACCGTTAAAGTGTTTTATTTAAACGATTTTATATATCTTGCAAATATTAGAGATAATACAAATTTATATAATGAAATCAAAGTTACATAGAAACACATTACAAATGCAGTTTTCGATTATTTGATTTGTCTTAATATTAATAATAGATAAAAGCAGCAATACAGTAGCGTTCTAGGTTTGAGTCTCATCTGTTTAATAATTTTCATTTTTTTTCTATTATCTAGTGTAGTACGAGCGAAGGATCGATTTTATTTGATTTTATTTATATGATCTCATTGAACATTTCTAACAGAATCTAGCCACAGTAGTACTAGTTTAGTAAATAAAAATAATAACTATAGAAACGGTTGTGGTATGGGCACTCAAAGTGCTCTATACGCATGCACGTTATAGATATAGCGATGCGTTTTTGTCAGTCTGTCCGCCTAGACCAATGTCAGGGAGGTCGAATGATTTGGCTAGGCAGTTATCATTGTCTGACATTGCATGCTCAAGGTCGGATATATTTGATATCTAGAATTTTTAAACACTAATGTCTATATTTACTCTTCGTTCAAATTTCGCTACTGCGGTCTTGTTTCTTTACGAAGATAATGTAATTATTTCTTTCAGTTTTTGATTTTTAGTCTTATTATTGTAAGCACTGCTCTCCAGGTGGCCCCTCCACATGGAGAGGAATTCTTGTAAAATATATCAATTTCAAGAATGGGGCCTATTAATTTTTAACTTAAATTAAATAATTATTAATAACCGTATGTGATGTGCATCCGATTTATCTTTAGGAAGTCGGGAGATGGGTTGCAGGTCACATATTATTAATATAACATACCCTATTATAATGATGTGTGGTTTGCTTATGTGAGGAGTTTAGATGAACTAATTATATGAAAGCTATTTTATTGGTACTATCTGATAAAACGCGGGTAACTCCGCGCGCTAGAGCTAGTAATGTACGATGTTTGTACTTAATGGAAGCTGGATAATGACCGCGAAGTGTTTGAACTCGCACGTGTTCATGGTAAATGTTAGATTTTCCCCATCTTTTATCATGTAAAGAATGCCTTCATGGCGTAGACTCGAATGTCCTTCGTTGTATGAGAGTCTGCGTTTCGATTCCTCGGGATACAAGACAATTTTTTTGTATTGTTGAGTACAACGCATTTTAATAAGACAGTTTTAACCGTTTAAAACGCGAAATGTATAAGTTAATTTATATTCACTACGTCCCGACGTTTTAGATGCATTGCTGCAAAGTGTTTCATTTAAAACAATACTCGCGTAAACTACTAAAGTATGCTGAAAAGTTTGCTTTCGGTCCAGCATATCATAAAAACTTTGTTGATCTGTAATTTCATATAGAATTGTGTCTTGTATGCCACAAGAGTTAATAAAAGCTTCTACCAATGAATCTGCAAACACCTAAAAGCATTGGTGTAGTAGATGTAACAAAGGCATCAATTGGTTTGTTTCAATTTAATAAAATACAGTTTAGAGAAACGTTATCACATCAAATTTGAACAAATAGTAATAAAACTATGCTAAATAAAGCGAAAAGTCTTTGAAACCCTAAAAATGCCAATCCCTAATCACAGATGTCCCAAAACAAAAGGTGTCTACGAACCTGCGCGAGCGCTGCTTGCCTCTGTGTGCGTGTCCTGTGACGCCAAAGAGTAAAACGTAGAAGTAGGTAATTCATAAGGGTCTTGTGTACTCTACTATAATAATAAAGTTGAATATTAATGAAAAATTAAACTTTATCTTGTGGGTGTAGTGAAGGGCATTTATGATACTAAAAGTATTCCCGCATCCAATGTGTACTAACTGACATAGTTCAGTGTAACCATAAAAATATTATTTTTAAGCTCCTATAAAACTACAATTGGACTTAGTGTGTCTATTAGGTACTAGAAATACTTGTTTATACTACGCGTTTAAAGTATATGTATTTGAGAGTTTTTTTTTATAATAGAGGAGGCAGACAAAGGAGTTCACTTAATGTATAAGTACGTAAACCCAACCACATAACGCCAAGATGCGCTGTCGGATTATTTTGGCTTGGCATTTTAGGAAATTCACAGACTGAAACCGAATCCCGATTAAACTTGACATATTTTTCATTTGAGGACGGTGGTGGTTATGACCCTGGCGGAATTTCGATATTGCTATAAACTTAATTATATATACATAATATACCGAATTTTTAATTAAATTTACACCAAAGTGTAATGCTATAAATTATATACCAACGACAATAGGATTATAATCAAAATTTTCTCTTAAATCTCCAATCTCTAATTGTTAAATACGTTTAAAGAAACCCCTTCTAACAGTTTGAAATACGAAATATATTAGTTAACTTATTTTATATTTATTTAGCTGCGGCCCGACGGATATGTAAATTGTTTCGCTTGGATAGGCACACATGTTTGACCACTACTTGTAAATACAATCGACCAGTGAAGCGGTCATGTGGGGCATGAGTTACCCCCATGCCCCACACAAACGGGATTTTCAGTGAAGGCCTTTGTAAGTCTTCTTATGGCTTACATTTAGTCTTACCAGCATTAAAAGCCGATGATTCATATCCTTTGTTTTAGTACTTACTACCTTAGTACATATCTGTTTGTATAATCTATGAGCACTTTTAGCTATATGCAATCGTCCTCTTTCTAACAAGGGCAATCGGCCGACAACCCACAACCAACGCCATGTTCTAATGCACGCTACATACTAGCTTATAATGTGGTTTCGTCTGCATGCCTTCACATACAAATCAACATTATAAATGGCACTTTGAATATTTATGGAATAGTAATCCATTACTTGTTTAAATAAAACACATATAATGGTTTAGAATGCGAAATATATTGGTAAACTTATTTTAAATACGGCCCGAAGTTTAGGATGCTTTGCAGAAGCCGCATTGCATGCATTACTTGAGCAATTATAAGTTAATGATATCTTTTGTATTTAAATAACAAATCCATTCTAGGATTTTTATTAATGAAGTATTTTATCTAATATATTACTTGTTATTTAAAACATTTCGTTACCAATTGCAAGGAATTTTCTAGTGTATGCTTAAAGTTTCTAACGAAAGGGTTTAAGTAAATTTCAGGTTTTAGTTCAGGGCGACAGGACTTTTAGAAACAGTTTCACTTAGTGTAGAAATTTGTTTATAAAGGCATCAAGAATGCTAAATGTTCAAAGATAAATAGTGACATATTATTCTTTTCTGAGTTTTAAAACCTAAAATAATATAAAATAAATTTTAATTGACGACTCAAATTAAAGTAATGTTATATACACAACAATACCCTAATTATAACGATAACTTATTAGCCGTATTCAAAGTTCGTTAACATAGGACATTTTTTATCGCTAATTCGTCCTTTGCAATGCATAG